TAATTTGTATCTTATATGCGTCATGTTTGTGTTTGGTTAAATATATTTATTTTGTACAGTCTATACACAAACGTTTGAAGTTTATTGGATTAAGAGCGCTAATATAATATTTTACACAACAAAATGTTTTAATATTATATAATTTTTACAACACCAATAAACTTCAAACGTTTGTGTATAGACTGTACAAAATAAATATATTTAACCAAACACAAACATGACGCATATAAGATACAAATTAAATTATTAATGTTTTTCAAACTTTATACAAACTTCATGCCATTAGAGTCTTTCCTATCTTGATACTTTAGCATCAGTATCAACATGGGGACTGTGTGAACTTTTGTGTGAGAATAGCATATCGTTAAGTGTAGGGTATTTAAATTTTATATGGTGATAAATCAGTGAAAAATAAGCAGCTTTCATTATGGCAATGGTGGTCGTCTGGGTAGTACTGCAATATGGATGTGGTGGTAAATACGACTGAAAAATATACTGCCTCAGTCTTCAGGGCTGAAAAGGAAGCATCTTGCTCCTCTGAAATGTTGGTATGTACATTACAGATCACTGTCATTACTACCTAGAAGACCAAAATTGACATCGTTACTGCCATGAGAACCCCATAGTTCACTATGGCAGTGTTTTAGTAAGATTGAAAATACCAACATTGTCATTGTAACTTGACTTGAGAAATTTGTGTAGTGACATCATACAAGCATAGTCATGTTAAAACGTACAATATATAATATTTGGCAATCAAACTGCATCATTCCAACAGCAAGAGTGTCTAATACTTGTTTTTAGATGTGTTCACAAATAAAAGTTGCCATGTCTGTGTGTCCATCCATCTGTTGAATGTAACAGGATTGTAAATTCATACTCTTTGGGATACACTCATATTCCTAAGGTGTTCTTCATTGTTGCACTGTTGTGGTATGATGGCATTGTTGAATTTTAGGCCATTCTTGTACCAATGTGATCCAAGGTCCTAGTGTTGTGCACGAATGGAAACACTTGAATCACATTGCTACAAAAAAGCAGAACATAGTGAGACATAGACAGATGAATCTAATGTTCAGACAAGATTTTTATGAAATTTAGTGCTGGGGAGAAAATTTGTTTATGATTATGGTTAAAATAAGATTATGGTAACAGGCACTTACATGAAGACCTACATATTTCACATGGAGGTAGTCTTTCAGAATTCCCAGCCAAATGCCTGACTCTTGCAACCACATTGGGAATCTTCTTGTGTTTCATCATCCAGCCAAATGGGCACCAGACACTTTGCGCACACAATGTCTATTGTTCACACACAACTTATGACATGCAGTAACATAGTGAATGCACATGAATTGTTATGCTGTATGTACATATCTTAATTTATTTGAGTGTAACATACTTCTTTATATCCTCAAAGTGTCATTATGTTTCTTGGGAATCGGTAGGTTTTAATTTTCTGTAGACACTGGCTTTCGCTAACCATAAAATGAAAAAGGTAAACTAGGCTCTGTGCATAAGTTATATGTATTTTAACCGTGGCACCTTTGTCAAATGCAGGTTAACCTTTATTTTACAGGAATAGGAGGTTTAATTCCTTGAGCCAGCCAGATATTAGCTCTGGGGTTAATGGTTGGATCATGCATAAGCTGTGTTGCACAGGTAATTAAGGTTAAGTCATGGACAAGATGAGGGATTACTGTAATTTAATATCTACTTGTTTGTAGAGCCTGGAATGTGAGGGGAAGCAAGGCATTACATTGAAACCACCATCAGACTGGCCAAGCAAAGGCAACATAAAGTTTCAGAATGTCACTCTTCAGTACAGGAAAGGACTCCCAGATGCGTTGAATAATGTATCATTCAGTGTACAGTCTGGAGAGACACTAGGTATAACAACTGTTTATCACATGTTAGTCATATTTACAGATTTTAGAGTGAGGTTTAAAGGTATATAATATAGAATATTGATAGTTTCATTATGGGTTATTTATGAAGTGCATTATGTGGAAGTTGTGTCTGTCTGCATGTTTACTCTCCAAAACTATTGATACGATTTTGATAAATTTTATATTGGGGATGTACACACTGTCAGGTGAACTAGGTTTTGGTTTCTGTCTTATATAAAGCTCATGCAATCTTTGAGTAACATATAATATACATTTGGTCAGGATCTATAGCTTTTTAATTTTTTTTTAATGTTATGTTTAAGCAGCTTTGCAACACTGTTTGTATATGCAGTGTTCTGGAATTAATTGTTGATGGTCATCTGTTTTTCTTTCCATTGTTGGAGTAAATGCATAGTGACATATTCATATAGACTTGATAATGATATTGGGTTGAACGGAATAATTTAACTGAGTTTTTTCATGAAGGTGAATGTGACATTCATTTAAGATTTAAATGAATGGTGTTGGTATATAACAACCATGTGGCAAATAAAGAAGTTCATTAAAGTAAAAACATTCAACCTCTTTCATAGGGACACCTTATATAAGATTCAAATTACTCATTTGATGCTGTGCAGAAGAAATGAGATTTTCATCAACAATAAATAAACATCAAGACCAGTGAGTTACATAAAAAATGCATTTGTAATACATTTACTCTAGATTAGAGTATAGCATTCCTCTCTTTTTTCATAGACACTGCATACTAGTTTATATTTTGGATTTCTTGCAGGGATAGTGGGACGAACTGGATCTGGTAAGAGCTCACTCATTGCAGCACTTCTTCGCTTAGTGGAGGTGTCTTCAGGTAAAATCAAGATAGATGGCTTGGACATAGCAGATATAAACTTGGAACAACTCCGTACCCAGCTGTCTGTTATACCTCAAGATCCTGTGCTGTTTGATAGCACAATCAGGTTAGTACATTATCTCAAATGTGATAACTGACTCTCAGATCCAAAAGTTCAGTATCAGAACTGTCATAACCTGCCATTAGTTTCAGGCCAGTTCCTTCCAGCATATTTTTGTAAGGGATAAATGTAAAGTTGTGAGCATTTTTAAACTCAGCAGCACATGGAGAAGTGCTGATGTAGACACTGTAATGATGAAGAGATATGTCCCTGTCCCTCTCAAGAATCAAACCTCAGATATCCAGCTCATAGCAAGTCTCATCAATGACTGAGCTAACCTGGATCTTAAGATCTGGCTTCAGTTACTTATTGGTCTTCCAGGGTGACCTTACGGTCTAACCTTATGGTCTAGAGATGAGGCTTTGGTTTTGACTGATATTCTGTGTGCAGTTTTCTGCATGCTGTAACTTCTGACAAAGGTAAAATGTGAATGGAAATTATGAGGTCCTCATCATAGTTTAGAGCTTACGTTATGCAGTAGGTTACCTCTGCCAGCCATCATACTAACTAAAATCTGACATCAGAAATAGGCTTTTTCATGCTAGCTGAGGCAGGCAGACACAATGAAATGTAGATGGTAACTGGAGGCACTGACTATAAGTCAAGATGCAGGGGCCTTATGTTATGTCAATATCTTACGCACTTGTGTGGAAAGGTGACTATTGCTACAGAAATGAAAATATTCATACATGTTATTCTAGGTTCAACTTGGATCCATTTGAATCCTGTACAGATGATGTCATATGGGAAGTTCTAGAAAAGACCAAGCTACGTGACAGAATATCAAACATTGGTGGACAGCTCCAGGCTTGTGTTGGACAGGGCAGAGAAAGCTTGTCTGTCGGAGAGCGTCAACTCCTGTGTCTGGCAAGAGCATTGCTTAGGAACGCTAAGGTGAGATACTAATGTCACTGTCATTGTCGAATTCCACGGAGCAGAGTTAGCTTATGTTATGAAGATGTATAGGTGGAGTGTATTCTTAACATGGGGATTAACCCGGAGGTATGGAGGTAAGTGGTCAGCGTCATACTCTGGTCACTTTCCTCTTGGGGAAAAAGTTCCCAGAATTCATAGGATAGAATGAATAGGAAGCAGGGTGAGCCCAAGAGCTGGTCTGTATATGGTAATTGTGATGGTGCCACTGCCAGTAATTTAATTTCAGGTCAATTCTCTACCTAGTTACTTAATGACAGAGGTATCTAAGCCCATAACCCCAAAATTTTGAAATTGGATTGTAGAAAAAAGAATGCTGCTCTACCACACTGTGAACTGTTTTACAGTTTGCGGAGTTGCATCCTTGTTTCTTTTCTTTTTCAGTAAACATATTGGCCCTTCATTTTTTCATTTCTCACAGATTCTTGTTCTGGATGAAGCAACAGCATCAATTGATCCTGAGACTGAAGCAGCTGTTCAGAGTACAGTCCAGAATGAATTCAAGCATTGCACAGTTCTGACAATTGCACACAGACTTTCGACTGTTACCAGCTGTGACAAAATACTAGTCATGGATAAGGGTCAGGTATGATTTTGTTCATACTTCTTAACCATTATACAGCAAGGGTTCAAGATGCATGCTTAGTTTACCAGTAAATCACTATATTTTTTCAAAGATAATTTAAACAATTTTCAAATCATATTTATAGCTATGTTTACAGTGCAGAATTCTATACAGGTGAAGCTATGCTAGGAGACGGTGTAAAAGCCCATAAACTGTGTTTAATCCTTCAGCCAAGTCTTGTTGGTTGTTTGCAGTGGTTCTTACTGTATGTCACAATTAAGTGGTTGGTAATGCTTAATATTTGAGGTCCTGTGATAAATTCTGAAGCCCAAAGACTGGCTTTTCTGGAATTTTTGTTGTTCTCCTCATTATCTCTAGTTCTTCTTGTTTCAGGTGTTTGAATTTGGCACTCCTGCCAACCTCATGTCTAATCCAAATTCAAAATTCTCTAAGATGTTATCAGTAGCTGATGCTGTGACTGAAGGACAGAGCTATACATGAGAACATGACTCAACAGATGGATGCTTTTTAAGTTATCTTACTATATTATTGGACTTAATCCATGTTTTTATTTTAGTATTGCATGGTCATTGCTCTTCTGTAATGACCAGGGCACTACTGGATGAAAAATTATGGTTAAGAATTGGATTTTGATTGTAAGCATAAAATATCTAGGCTTAATAAGGATTCTTTCTTGTGCTCCACAGTTTCTGCCCACATTTCTACCCTCACCACACACATTGTTATATGAGATAATTTTGCTTCTTAAAATCGCTCCTTCTTTTAGCCATTGGCCTTCACTGGATGTCTTGTGGTATGTTTTCCAATCACATCTGCTGGAACCTTTGCAGAAGCACATGTTCAGTCCCTCCACATCATTTTCATTACAAATTGTTGCATCTTTTTATGACATCAATTACTGGGTGACATTGACAGCAATTTGAGACACTGAGCCATGTGTATAACTAACTAACTAGATGGCTTACCGAACCCGAAGGTTCATCACCGAATTAACCAAAGCCGTCCACCAGACCCTGTCCTGGGCCAACAAAATCCAGTCTCCTTCAACTCCTATCTCCCATAGATCCTGCCTGACATTATCCTCCTATCTACATCTAGGTCTCCCCAGCGGTCTCTTCCCCTCAGCCTTCCCAACCAATACCCGGTGCACACCTCTTGTCTTATCCATGCGCACTACATGAGCCATGTCTATACATAACATTATCTAATTTCTATCTGTGGCATGAATAATTTTAACCTCAGAGTTAATTTGATTTTTTCATCTCTGTGGCTGCATTTTTATAAAATTTAACATGTTGGTAAATCCTAAAGTCAAGTTATAGGTAAAACCATAAAATATGTATTTTGAATATGTTAACCTTAAATAGTGTTTGTGTGGCATATCTGTCAGAAAAGACTTTGTGCCCCGAAACCTTATTTTACAGCAGACACATGGGAATTAGGCAAGAATATGTAGTTTCATGCTCAGTATAACAGAACAGATAAATACATCAGTAGAACCCACTTTTTTATTATATTCAGCATGCTTACATTGTTTTTCAAAATGCATTTTCAATGCAAAGTGAGAGATATGAAAATATAGAAATAAAATAGCATTTTGTTTATATAATCATGCACCTGTCATACTATACATTACACATTGCTTGGAACATAAGTAATGCTTCTGCTCTGTCACCACATTGTATATCAAGCACTTGGTTTGATGGAAGGAAAATGACGGTCCCACGTTCTAACACAATGTCACCAGCAGTTGCTTGTCCACTGATCACAATGAGAATAGAAGCACTGTCCCGTGGAATGAGGGCATATTCTGTAATGCCAGAAGGTACCTGAAACATGAGAACACTGCAGCATTTTCTGTGTGAAGTCATTCAGGGTTTCTAATTAACTAAAGCTGTTTCCAGTACCCCAAATATTTTTTCCAGAAGCACATGAACAAAACATGTAATAGTCTATCTGTCCATCTATCCTCATGCAGTGTCTACATATTATTGGTAAAATGTTATATCAGAGACCTATACTAAATTTGTTGAGTGAATATCATTTTCATCCATATTATTCCAGTCTTTTACAAAATTAGGTATGAACATCATGCTACTGGAGTCTGTCCCACCCTAGTACATTTAGTCCCCACCAACAATAATACCAATATGGTGGTTGTATGGACTTACCAGGTTGGAGCAGCAAAACATGCACTTAATATAAGGCCTTGAAATTTTGTGTGCTATAAGATATTGCTAAATAGTTAACTTTTGTGGTATGTAATACAGTGCAGTACTAACCTGAAATCTGTATTTGACTTATGTTAAGAATTATAAATATGGTGATGATGAGGTTAAATCTTAAACATTTTCAAAGGTAGTCAAAATATATATATATATATGCAGTAGATTCCGGTTAATTGGGGCAGCCACTTATTTGGGACAGTCTTAAAGAACAAACCTTTTTAACTCTTTACGTGGTACTTCACATAATTGGGGCAGCCACTTACTTGGGTCAAAGTGTTCTAGTACTGATGTGTCCCAATTAACCAGAATCCACTGTATTTGGAAATATTTCTTCATTATTACATGCACAGCCCTCTAAATTATATAGAAAATCCTACATTATGCACTTTATGAAATTTCATGGCAGAGGGTATGAAGATGGCTGTCTTCTGGGTTGTGCTATGTTGATGACATGCTGATGATGGAGGCAGCAAACATCTCTGAAACATCTGTAACCTTTTACTAGACTACATAATGCATCATCCCAGGAGACAGCCATCTTCATCACACACTTTGCAGCAATAATGGACATGCTACATGCTCACATTAATTTTAGCCACAGAAAAGTCTGGAACTGGTGGGCAAAATCTCAGTGTGTACATGTCTTCTTGGATGCCTTGGAAACGTTTTTCATTTGAAGGCTCACAACTGTATGTGAGCATAATGCACAGTGTGTCCACATCTTTATATTTTGGCGTGAGGCCTGCACGAACAACATTGTCGGAGCACGCCATGCACTCTATACAGTCTGTAAGTACACACAAGAATGGTTATGTGATGTTTGGTAAGTAATGGATACGAAGATGTAACACCACTAATACTAAAGGCCCATCACTGAACATGGTCATAAGTCAGTTCCATTTACCTCCCATCCTCATAACCTGTTCCTGTAAGAACTAATTCTTTAATAGCAGCCTGCAGCCTGAAAGCTCATAATTGCTAATGCTAAAGCCTGCCGTTGGACATAATCCTCATCTAATTCCATCCACCACCTATCTCCAAGTCTTCCAAGGTGTTTCAGAAGGACATTCCTGTAAGCACATCCTGCCCCTCATCTGAACTATGAATATGGTTCAAGGTTGACATGTACTTTCTTTTACAAAATATGGCTGCACCAGAATGATGAAATACCCTTCGTGGCAGATGGTGGCAACACTGCTGTCATTCACACACATACACACAGCCATGCCCTTTCAGTCTGTGTACTTCCTGAATGCATGAGGTTATATTAATTGCAAAACCACCCTCTTTCACATCAAAAATGCATGAAAATAAAATATAATAATCATATTCCATATTTGAATTACCTCCATACAAATACGCATGTGGCTCATTAGGGCCAAGGTACAAAGCTTCACCAGGTTGCAGAGTAAGAAGATTCAGGAAGTAAACACTGAAACAACCAACATCTCCTGGGTAAGTCTGATGCAGCTTCAGGAGTGTAGCATCGTGGTCAGCCAGAGAACTCTCATCTGAACAATAAATATAGACAGACAATATTGATGCAGGAATGGTAGTTTATACATGCTATTGGATCAGAATGTGTGTACAGTTACTCTCTGAGAAGAACACAGACTGAGAGCATATTTGAGGTTCACATGGTAGTGAAAATATGGAATGTGGTCTTCTTGGTTCTGGTTTTGTATAGTTTTGCAGACAGTTACCAGTGCTAAAATCTTTGAAGTTGAAGACTTCTACTCTGGTAACCACAATACTGCATGTGTTGCAACCCAGAAGACTCATAGTCCATAAGTTGAGAGTACCTGAGAACACGTGCCGAGGATTAATATTTGTATGTAAGAGAGATTATGAAACTGAAGGATGGTTAAAAATATTTAATGAGGAACATAATAGTTTTTACATGTCACCAAACATTGTTAGGATAATGAGTTCAAGAAAGATGAGTTTGGTGGAACATGAACACAAACAGGAAATGAGAAGTCTAGAGCATCTTTTATATGGCAGCTAGTCTTGTCTCTTTGTAAGAGCAAAGTTTAATCCAGTAATTTCATCTGACCATGAACAAAAATATTCATGAACAATAATTTATAGTTTATGCCTTAAAGGATCTATCTCTTTTTGGTCCAAATGATCAGCACTGTACATTTTTAAGGCATCCAGTTCCTGATTAATAAAAATTTAGAAATTACATAAAAATATTAAATGCATTGTTTGGTTCCTTATCCACCTTGTGGTATATTCATGTGACATAATTGAAAACTAAAAATTGCTAATGTAAATAGAAACTTGTATGTTGCATACAGTACAGAATTTTGATGCTTGTGTTACACTGTGACCAGAAATAATTAATTACAAGAACACTGCTGGATACTGCCCATTGTCTGAAGCATATTTGATGTACATGAAGATTTAGAAGTTGGCTTTATTCCCATCTTAAGGTGATAATATCCAACATAGTATTCATATAATGAATCAACAATTGTCACACTTCTTTGGAGAATCATCAGAAATGAATATCCACACATGAGGGTAAAAGAGAATAAAATGTGAAAAATATCTTAATTTTCCCATACCTAGGGATGCCAGTCTTCTCAATAGTATTTGTAGCTGGGTCTTTATTGTTTCTCTGGGGCATGTCATCAGGGAGTGAAAGCAGTTCTTTAGGGCATGATGTATTCCAGCTTCATCACTCGTAAGCAGCTTACTAACCACTTCCTGTCCAACAGCTGTTCTCAGTTCTGGCACCACTACAACAGCAAACACCTTTTCATATGTGTCTTATGAAGCATTGATCATTAGAATGTCATCTGACAAACTGCATTACCTTTTAAAAACTTCTTTATTTCTTCAGTAGGTCTGAAGCCACACAAAGCTTCAAAAGGAGTAAGTGCAATGGCAAGTTCTGGCTTGTGGTTTGGATCCTTGTAAATATCTGGATGCTCACAATGAAGTTTCTCAGCAAGTATCTGATAACAAATTTTTATGATTTTGTGATGGCATGAAAATACAGTATCAGTATTCTTGTCAGATTTGGGAATAACTTTGAATTTCTGCAGTGAATAGCATGTGAACTAAGGTATGGAGGGCAGCTTCACTATCTGCTTAGTTTTGAAAAGAATGTATACATTGAGTGAATGGATGAAAGGCCCAAGACCTGTAAACAGTTTATACAACCTATAAGCACAACTGTTATTTTCATATTCAGAAGGTCCTAGGTGCAAATCTCAGCTCAGAAACTAGCGATCTTGACTGAGGTTTCTCATGGTTTTCTTAGTTGCTCCATGCAACTGTCAGGATAGAACCTTAAAATAGTCCATGACCACTTCCTTCCATGTCCTTTCTATTTATTCATTAACTTTTATCATACAGGAATAGAGGATTTAAATCCCCATACTGTGGGGCCACCAGAGAAACTTCAAATCTGGGGTTAATGGTTTAGCAGTATCCTAGGACGATACACTGTCAGAAATATGATGCATAGTTCTTTACAGTTAAGCATTCCCATGATATATGTCATCCACCTGTTTTTAAAGAAAATAACTTTGCTTTGAGGGATCCAATATCAAGAACTCTGCAGAGAGCAGTGGGTAAACCCAGCATCACAGAAGAGTTGCTAAAATGTCACCAAAGTCAAATATGTATAGTGAGGCAGTTGAAGTGGGAACAAGGTATGTGCTGATTTCAGAAAAAAGGATACGAAATTTGAATTAATTTCCATTATTCACCTCATTAGAGGCATAAATGCTGTGCATGAGAGGTTTTATGTAATTTTCACTATTAGCACAAAGTGTTTCTGCTAGCTGGTGTGATGAAATACCTTGTCTGGGTGAGCCTGAATTGATAATGCTTGACTGATGGACAGTACTTTGAACAGAAATGGAAGCTGCGCTCCAAATTTCTTTGTGACTTTGGCTCCAAGACTTTCAGGATGGGCTTTTATCCAGTCATCAAGTTTCTGGCTGGAATTTTTCAAAATTGAGGGTCCATTTGGATGAGTTCCCATCCACAGTTCTGCATATGGCATGGCATCATCAATCATGAAGTCTGGATCTCCACCACAGTTCAGCAGAGCCACTTCACTATTCCGCCCACGTTTTCCCCATGCATATTTCTGTATGGCGCATCTGAGCTCCATGACAGCAATCTGCATATGTAATAAACAACTTTGTGAAGACTATTTTCAAAAACAAAGTTTTGGACATTTCAGCTCTCACCATGGCTGCAAAAGAGTACACTTATTTCCAAACGTTTTTTGCAGTTCTATATATCTCATCAGTTTCAATAACATAGTTATTGTATTGCATACATAAATTTAATGCTCAAAGATAATCATTACAACACATAGTATATATTCATATATTTTTCCTTACATGTAAATAAATATACACTACAGTAAAGGGCACTTCTAGTAAAAGTTGTAAGACCTGCAATTTACAAAACCAAATTTTATACACACAGAATTATTATTGCTCATTTATGCTATATAATGCGCAATATGAACAGGTTCAACTAAATTAACTGGAAAAAGTCTGCATTAGCTTTGCTAACAACCTGCAGTTAATTGAATATACTACAGCAACTCGTGGTATTCCTTCTATGTTGGTATCAGAGATAGAACCAACAGTTGGTATTTGCTGAGAATGTTTTATCTTCACAGGTTATACCTTTGATAATCGGTACGAAGGACGTAAGTCATATGCAGTTTTTATTAACGTAAACCGGTCTTACTGATCACCAGAAAAACGCGATGAACGAATTATTATACGGCTAGGCTGTGGATTACAAAACAGTGACAAATTTGGGCGTATACGTTCCATAGACGGTTGTGTATATAAACATGAACAATCTAATTCATGCGGCAAGTCTAGCAAAGAATTTAAAAAATATGTGTAAATAACGTTTTTTTTACAAAGTTGAGTTAATGACGGTGAGGTAAGTTATGTAATAACACTCAAAACAATTGGAATAAGCATTTGTTCTTTGATTACCTCTCCCTTCTCTTACATTTTGGTTCTGCCATTAATTTACGCCGCCTACAATGCGGTGTGCACATAACGTGTTAACAGTTTACTCCTTGCTGTGCTATAGATACTTCATAGGCCGCAGCCAGGATGCAGAAAAATTTCATAGCACATATATAGTACTGGTTTATAATACATATATAAATTACAGAGTTAAGACACTAATTTACGGTAACCTAGAGTATTACTACAAAAATTACACAAGAATATGTTATTATTTGTGTCTTCTTCCACCATCATACTAAATAATAAGATTGTCAGAATCATGACCATGGCGTGGCTGGGTTCTGCGAAGTAATAATAAGCAACAATGTATACCGGAAACATAATTAGCAATGTTTTCATGCAGAGGTAAATAAGAATATTACTGAACTGGGTTGCTTCGAAAAACAATTGCTGCCGACATACATGTTCAATTGTTTACGTCAGGGGAGGGAGTTTGTGATGTAACAATAAGCTACATCATATCAAGAATCTCACTGTTATAAAATCGTATGTTGCTGGGAAACAGTTGGTAAACAGTGTGTGAACAGAATTTTATGAGGAATGGCGTTTTCGAAGTCCAGGGTTTCTAGGTTTCAGCCAGATACTAGTAAGTAATTAATCCATTTATTATATTGCTAAATGTTTTAATTTCGCGAAGATGGCAGAAGAAACTTGAAATTTCACGTAACCCAATTCATATACAGAACACTCTAACACAGACAGCTTCAGAAAACGAAATACAACTGCAGTATTTTTTGTATTTATTTTGTTTCATGATGTCATATTCTGAAGCACCAAATATCAAGAAGTCGTGTTCTTTGTGTGGATGTGAAACGTGTTATAATACTATGACGGAGTAACATTTATTACAGTTTTTCAACAGAAATTGTATAAAATATTTAAAATTAAACCGAATGACGCTAATTAGATATAATGTGGAAGAGGATATCAAGTATTTTTAGGACAGTGAAATACAGACGGCTGAACTTGTAGCTAAGATTGGGGAAACAAGGGATGCATACAGAATTTTGGTATGAATGCATCTTGAAAAGCAGATATATGGAAGACCAAAAAGGATAAGTGAGAATAGCAGTAAGATGGATCTCAAGTGAGCTGGTTTATGAGGATTGGAGATTGATGCAGCTGGCTCGGGATTGTGTTGAATGGCAGACTTTGGTATTAGCAGTGTTTGAACCTTAGGGGTGTGCTCCCTGTTTATCTGCATGTTTTGTTGCCTAATCTAAGTATGTAATCAAATTTTAGAAATACATATAGCATGAATATAAATTGTACATCCTTTATTATTATATCGTGACTGGTTCTGTGACATGCCAGTTATGTATAAGAGTGATAAACTCTGTGCACAGTGATGGGTATGTGGAAGCAGCATACATTATTTTCTCACTTCCATGTATATCAATATAACATTGACTAGTTAAATAGTACAATATAAAATGGTAACATATTTGGGCATCTGCATGCCATTAGACCATTGGCTATGTATGTACATACATGTGAAATCTGCTTCATGTATCACCTCAAGGAATTAAGTAAAAGAAAATTTTACTCGTCACATGGTAGGAAAATTGATTGGTGAATTAGAAAGAAGATATGAGGAATGCATGCACATTCTGTTTTATATCCCTTTTAAGAGATTGCTTCCTGCTTTTTGTTTCCCACTAATTAATATTGTGATAGCATTGGACGTGATTGTGTGTCAGTTTATCCATCTCCCATTCTCGCAATCTGTGTCCCAAAAAGCAAATATCACTACCGGAATTTGATATGCTGTTGTGCACCCATGCCAGCTACATGGTGGGACTATTGTAGGGCCTATGATTCTTTTGCCATGAAATCTGTGACACCAGTAGTTGGCCACATATTAATCACAAAGTTCGTTGTGTAATAACCAAAGTCACTTGCTTATTTCATGCTTCTTAGGTTCAGATATTTTGAGACACGTATGATTTGTTTTCCTCCTCAGAGAGATGATTTTTTTGTAGCCATACAAAGACTGTATTGCTCTTTTTTAAACACATCTGTAATGCATTCTGTGGTTCTTCTTTAGGCTGTGCTCCTCCTCCAACGAGGTATGCACCAAAGAGTAACATTAAAATGAAAGGAAATACCTTATTTAACAAGCAGAAGCAGGTAACCACCCAGATTGGTTCAGGTCCATGCCCCAGCCAAAAGGAAGTTAGAAGAATGTCCAAGGTAACTATTCTTGTGTAAACAACTACAAAGACCAAGATCCTTCCTTAAAAGAAGGTAGGCACTCAGCTGATAAAGAGCCATAAAGTTCATTACTGTGTTCACAAGAGCACGCAACTTGACCTTATTCATAGAGAGATAAATCCAGTTTACTTTGTCTGAACCCATTTGAATCTTACCCGCCCATCTATGCCTGTCTCTCCCAAGTGGTCACATCCCCCCAAGTTTTCCCCATGCACACTCTACATGCATGCTGCCATCTTACCTCCCTTGATTCAGTCACATTTTCTGAATCCACTTGTGAGTGTTCTGCTTTCTTCACACATTGTGCACAAGATGGGAATGTACATGGCTATTCTGTCTGTCTGTCTGTCTACTTGCATATTTTACCAAAGAACTGCTGGAGATGTTTTTATGGTGTTTGGAGTAGAAGTTATGCCATTGTAGAATACATCCTTTTCAGGCTACTGCAGTTGATAATAACATTACACATTTGTGGGATGGGAGTAACATTAAAAACAAACACTAATAAAAAATGTAATTTGGTAATGATCAAATGTTCTGGAGTGAATTTATTGAAGTGTATCAAAACTTGGGTGAACACTATGTAAAATGCTGCCTTGTCCATGGTACAATAACTGTTGAAATCATGGGGCTTATTATACTCTATATATTTTGATAAAATTTATGTGACTCTTTTTCGCTGTCCAGTAACCAGCATTTCTTCTGAACTATTCTTCTTTCTTTTTTCCTTTATTTCTTTCTTCTTCTTCCGCATACTACATTACTACAACACCTGCATTGTTTCAGACTTGGGTTGTGGGGCCTTGTACTCTTGTAGGTGGTTACCATCATTTCAGAGAAATGTATCTCCACCATTTTCTGGGCACAGGCGTAAAGATTGAGGTGGTAATTTTTCTCTGAAATGATGGTAACTAACTGCAAGTCTGTGAAAATAATTTATCAGTTTGACAAGCCTGGATTAAACCATGGTGATTTGAGAAATCACACTGATAAGGGTAGTGAATGATGCTTTCCCAAGAGGTAATGGGGACAGAATGTGAAGTCGACCAATCGTCTCTGCCCACTGCTAGTGTGAAGAATGCTTGGAGCTTTAGCTTTGTTCTTATATAGGTCTTCATGGCTTGCTTAATTACAGGGACTTTGGTAACTGGGTTCTTCTATATCCTGTACATTTTATTTCTTTCAGTTAAACAGTATGCCTAGCCTGAAATCAGGTAGAGGTAACAGTGAAATGCAGAGAGAAGTGAAATTAGGTGGTACCACATCTTTTAAGCATGAGCCACCAAGAAGCAGCAAGCCTGTAATGAACAAGGAATTGCCCAAAGAACAGGTGAGAATTTCCATGTCAGTGCCAACTTTCCATGTTATGTGCAATGCATAAAATTATAGAACTGTGAATAATCATAGTGTGCATACTTACTACATGTTTCATATTGAAATTATTTTGATTAAATTTCGTATTTGAGGTGAATGCACTAAAGGTGTTAGGCAAATTTCTTTATCTGTCTATGTCACATTAACCTTAAATCAAAATTTATCTGTTTCCCACATATTAGCTCATGAGCCGGGATAGCTCAGTCAGTATAGTGGCTAGCTACGGGCTGGACGGCCGGGGTTCGATCCCCGACGGGGTCAGAGGATTTTTCCTCTAGCCTCTGCGTCCAGACCGCCTCTGGGGCCCACCTAGCCTCCTCTACAATGGGTACAGGGGTCCCTTTCCCGGGGGTAAAGCCAACCGGGGCGTGATGCCGACCACTCACCCCCATCTAGTGCCGAGGTCAAGAAAGAGAGGAGCTATACCTCCACTCACTCCAAGCGCCTATATGGCACAAACTTTTACATATTAGCTCACCATACACAAAAGTGGTGCGTGAAATGTAATACGCATATATCACTGTAATTAAAATCTGCGTCGTTTATTTCAAACACTTTTTAATGTGACTATATAAGAAAACAAAAACAAGGAAGAACTATTTGTGTATGTAGTAATGTGCAATAAATGTACAATACAACCCCTGGGGGTACATAAACTTGCAAAGAATGTAAACTGTGCTAAAGTGAAGGACCATGCATGTTTTTACCTCAGGGAAGTGTCGTGGAACAGCAGTCGAGCATCGGTAATCAGTGTGACCAAGCATTGAACTCAAGCGGTGAAGATGTGGACTCAGTGAAGGGGAGTGATGTAATTGATTTAAGGAGAATAAATGGTCCCATAAGTACCAAAGGAGCAGTTGAAACAAAACCAGATGCCAGTGACACATTTACAGGTAAGCTGAAGTATTCATGAAATTACAAAACCATATGCAGTGTGTTACTGACTTAAAAGGAGAGAATCGCTGTATCTTCAACACCAGTAGGCTTCCTAGCATACGCAATGTTGAATGCAAATGTGTGTCGATAATGAAGGTAACCAGAGAAATTGGTTTGAACACATTGTGAGTTATGTGACTTCAATTAATTCCACAACATTTACATTTATGTCAGTGTCATGTTCCTTTGTAATTAAAACGTTTCCTTACTGAACAACTGCTCTTCTGTGTTATACCTTCTGCACCATCTGATCACAAATTTGTCCGTCCCTGAACTTATTCTATCCGTGTTTATCTGCAGAATCAAAACACAATGGGCAAGAAGCTGAGCTCAGGACCGAACTGCCGGCTTCTCAGGCACAGCTAGGATCGGCTGAGCACCGCATGAAGGAGGCGCAGAACAAAGTTAAATCCCTGGAGAAAGACATCAGAGCAGGTGTAAGTAATAAGTGCAATTTCAAGGATTTGTGTAATTTTATGTCTTGAGTAGAATTCCCTGTAATTGCAACGCTTGTCACTTAAATGTAAGAGTTAAAACAAATGTGAATTTGTTGTCTCGGTGGCTAAGCACCAAACCATGAAGACAGATAAATTTCTACATATTCTTAGTTATTACTGGTTCATTCCACACCGTTGAAAGGTTAAGTAACCATTTATAGTCTTGGTTCCTTTGAATCATATTTTTTTCTTTGATTTAGCTTCAAAACACTTTTTCTTCACTGCTTTCTGTATCGATCAGAGGTACTCTTATCTGCTTTCCCATATGTTTCCCCACCATTACCGAGTATGAATTTTATAGTCTTCTACCATAAGTACAGTGCCCTCTAACCACCTTAATTTGAGTACTGTAAACCTAGGGGGGGACATATATAATATAAACCACATGAAGTTGTTTATCGTGTTATATATTGTTCCCTACTTACTTTATCCCTCATCGCTCCAAGTATTTTACTGGATACCTTCCCATCACTTGTAATATGTCTTCTTTCAAAATAATAGGCCGCATCTTACAGTCACACAGAACAGCAGGCAAAATTACCAGTAGGCCTGTACATTGCACGTATCTGTTTGCTTAAAGCAGTGGTCCCCAATGCGGTGCCCGTGGTTGCCATGGCGCCTGCCAAGGCTTTTTTTGGGTGCCCGCGTTGTTACGGAAAAAGTTATAATGAATAATGAAGGCCGTGAACATTATAAAATCAAAGCACAGATCTTGACTTACTCATGCCCATCTTGACGATTGTTTGCGAGCAGCAACATCATCCTACACTCCCAAATTTGAAAAACTGGCCGATGAAATGCAGTGCCAAACATCACACTAACTTCCCACTTGAGTAATAATAATTGTACTTATGAAACTATGTATTTTTGATTGCGTGGTTTCTTGTATCATTAAACGTCATGTTGTTTTGTGTATTATTTGGTGTCCATATCTTATTTGTCCAGAGAAAAGAAAATTTGGCTTTGTTAATTGGTTGGTGCCCGCCACGATCTCATAAGCTCTCAAATGTGCCCGTAGGCACAAAAAGGTTGGGGACCACTGGCTTAAAGGTTTGGCAACACTGCCAAAAGAATTTGTCTCATTTTTTGTGTAGCAGGACGAGATGCTCATCATCCAGGCATCAATAACAGACGCCCGTAATAAAAATGAACAGCTGCGAGAGCTGTTAATCCAGCAACAGTTGGTGATTGAACAGACAGATAGTGTGATATGTCAGGAATGCAAGCTTTTGAAAGGACAGGCAAAGCAGGTATTGAAGCAAAATGACATGACATTATGTATTAGGAAGTATATTTATATATATGGACTATTAACAAATTCTTAAAAGTTTAATGATGCTGTTTAGTATGAAAATTATGTTAAATGATGTGTTAAGAAGATCATGAATGGTGGGTAGTTAAACATTTGATAGAAGGTGTCGGAGCTTATTTCAAGGTCTAAGCTGGCATTTGTCTGGAAAGACAAAATAAAACCACAAAAATGTCAATCAGGACTTTTTGTGTTATACCTTCTGCACCATCTGATCACAAATTTGTCCGTCCCTGAACTTATTCTATCCGTGTTTATCTGCAGAATCAAAACACAATGGGCAAGAAGCTGAGCTCAGGACCGAACTGCCGGCTTCTCAGGCACAGCTAGGATCGGCTGAGCACCGCATGAAGGAGGCGCAGAACAAAGTTAAATCCCTGGAGAAAGACATCAGAGCAGGTGTAAGTAATAAGTGCAATTTCAAGGATTTGTGTAATTTTATGTCTTGAGTAGAATTCCCTGTAATTGCAACGCTTGTCACTTAAATGTAAGAGTTAAAACAAATGTGAATTTGTTGTCTCGGTGGCTAAGCACCAAACCATGAAGACAGATAAATTTCTACATATTCTTAGTTATTACTGGTTCATTCCACACCGTTGAAAGGTTAAGTAACCATTTATAGTCTTGGTTCCTTTGAATCATATTTTTTTCTTTGATTTAGCTTCAAAACACTTTTTCTTCACTGCTTTCTGTATCGATCAGAGGTACTCTTATCTGCTTTCCCATATGTTTCCCCACCATTACCGAGTATGAATTTTATAGTCTTCTACCATAAGTACAGTGCCCTCTAACCACCTTAATTTGAGTACTGTAAACCTAGGGGGGGACATATATAATATAAACCACATGAAGTTGTTTATCGTGTTATATATTGTTCCCTACTTACTTTATCCCTCATCGCTCCAAGTATTTTACTGGATACCTTCCCATCACTTGTAATATGTCTTCTTTCAAAATAATAGGCCGCATCTTACAGTCACACAGAACAGCAGGCAAAATTACCAGTAGGCCTGTACATTGCACGTATCTGTTTGCTTAAAGCAGTGGTCCCCAATGCGGTGCCCGTGGTTGCCATGGCGCCTGCCAAGGCTTTTTTTGGGTGCCCGCGTTGTTACGGAAAAAGTTATAATGAATAATGAAGGCCGTGAACATTATAAAATCAAAGCACAGATCTTGACTTACTCATGCCCATCTTGACGATTGTTTGCGAGCAGCAACATCATCCTACACTCCCAAATTTGAAAAACTGGCCGATGAAATGCAGTGCCAAACATCACACTAACTTCCCACTTGAGTAATAATAATTGTACTTATGAAACTATGTATTTTTGATTGCGTGGTTTCTTGTATCATTAAACGTCATGTTGTTTTGTGTATTATTTGGTGTCCATATCTTATTTGTCCAGAGAAAAGAAAATTTGGCTTTGTTAATTGGTTGGTGCCCGCCACGATCTCATAAGCTCTCAAATGTGCCCGTAGGCACAAAAAGGTTGGGGACCACTGGCTTAAAGGTTTGGCAACACTGCCAAAAGAATTTGTCTCATTTTTTGTGTAGCAGGACGAGATGCTCATCATCCAGGCATCAATAACAGACGCCCGTAATAAAAATGAACAGCTGCGAGAGCTGTTAATCCAGCAACAGTTGGTGATTGAACAGACAGATAGTGTGATATGTCAGGAATGCAAGCTTTTGAAAGGACAGGCAAAGCAGGTATTGAAGCAAAATGACATGACATTATGTATTAGGAAGTATATTTATATATATGGACTATTAACAAATTCTTAAAAGTTTAATGATGCTGTTTAGTATGAAAATTATGTTAAATGATGTGTTAAGAAGATCATGAATGGTGGGTAGTTAAACATTTGATAGAAGGTGTCGGAGCTTATTTCAAGGTCTAAGCTGGCATTTGTCTGGAAAGACAAAATAAAACCACAAAAATGTCAATCAGGACTTTTAAATTTAGTTTTTAAGCTTTGGTTTATTCTGTTAAATGCACTGACAGTACTGATTAATCACAGCAGTTTAGTCAGTCTCGTAAACTTTATGCAACGTCTTTTAAATCTACTGTAGCGTGGCATTATGGGATTGGTTAATTGAAACACTATCAATATATGAAGTTTTAGTACATTCAGCGAAGCAGGTAACATTTAATGCATTAAGTGGTGCAAAATGCAAAATATACAGATCATTTATATAAATGCTTTTCAATTTCAAGGTGAACAAGGAGATTTCAGCACAAGCAGATGAAGTGAAAAAATTGTTCTTGAACATAGATAAAAAAACTACTGAATTGGCCCAGATAAAAAAAAGATTGCAAGAACTGCAAGAGGATAAAAATATATTCGAAGCACAACACGCACTTAACAAAGACTTGGAGCGTGCCCTTCAGGAGAGATAAGATTATCAGCCCATCAAACCAACACATAAATGAAAACGTGGATTTATCAGTTGTGAAATTCTGTGAAATTGGATGGTGCTACTGAAAAACTTTCCTTCTTCTGTCTAAAAGTGTATTTAGTTATAAAAAATTCAATTTTTATTACTATCTTCAGGGATATTTATTTATATTTGTCTGAGGCTTCAAAATGCTTGCTGCCTCCATCGTCAGAGCAGTGGGCCATCCAGACCAATTGGGGAACAGGATGAAATTGTAGAATACAAAACTGTTCCTTGCTCCTTGACCTGGTTTCAATGAATTTGCAGGGCATGCTGTTGTTGGAAAAGACCCACAGACTCGCTGTTGTGAATGAACAGCAGGCTGCTGATGCAGTTGAATGTGGTGCTGACAGAGGGAAGGAAAATGATGGAGACGGGTTTCTCTAGTGGATTGAGAACCTGTTGAATCTGATGCTGGCTGCAGCCATTCTGTCTGAAAGTGGCCCCAAGAAACTCCACATCGTCATGTAGGGGTTCCCACAAGATCACAAATTCTACTGTAAACCGCCACAGAGTAATCCCTATCTCAGTTCCAACTCCCACTATCTTTCCAAAAAATAGATTGTACTTTCCACATTGGTGCACATTGTGACCGGGATAACCTGCATGAGGAGCCGTACATTCTCAGGGCCACTTTCAGGCAGATTGGTTACGGTGACTAGTTGATCTGATGGGCTCTCGGCCAGTCGGAGAGGGTTGGCATAGCCCCAGCTCTGGAGAAACCTGTTTCTGTTGCCTTCCTTCCCTTTATCAGCATGACCTTCAGCCAAATCAGCAGGCTTCTGTCCAGGCATATCAAGTCTTGGTCCTTCCCCAAGGAAGATTCCCATTTCCTTTATCCTTTGAAGGACAACTTAGGATTCATCCTCTGTCATATTCAATCTCACTGCAGTAACAACCTGAAATATCACAAATGTTCACTTTAAATTACATTTTATGAATCTCGGTAAGCATCAGTGTAGTAAAGATAACATTAATATCAGTTCCAAGTGTAAAATAAATTGTCCAAATTTAATTGTTTCAACATGGTGATTAAACTGTGGGTTCTTGGTAATGACATCTGATTTATTGTATTCACTGTTAGAAATAATTATTTCTTAGATTAATGTTCTGTTGGATTACAAAGCACATTCCTTATTATAGGCGCTGGGAGTTCACACCAGGTGCAACTGCTCTGTTGTTGCGACTCCGCTGTCTTTGTCCCAGTTGGTAATTGTCCACTACACTGGCATCATAGAGAACGGCTCACTTTCACATGACTCAATCTAAGCGGACAGTGACATCAGTCACTCGACTGGAACAGAATTGTCCTAAATTCCACTTGTCCCTTTGTATATTTATAGAGTGAAATATCTCCCAAATTCTGGATCCTTCTGATCTCACAGAATAACACCAAGGCAAGCTGAGAAGCTTTCAGAAAATGTTGTAAGAAGGGTTTATGTGCGTGTGCACATGTCTGACATCACTTGAACCAGGCTAGGTGCCATGATTCATGTCACATTGTGCTTGGTAGGAGTGGTCCCATGGCTGTAGTTGCAAGTGCTTCTGTCAGTATCACGCATTTTAAGGGTTAGCTGTACACAGGTTTTGGAATGTAAGAAATGTGTTCACGGCATTCAAATAGGTACTTTTATTCTATTGGCTGTTGCGAACAGAATAATGAACCTTCGGGTGATATAAATGGAAGGCAGTTTCTGGATCAGCTGAGGGACTTTCAACTTTGCTACTATTATATGGAGTTGGAGGTTAGCGGTGTTAAAATGTTTGTTTGGCTTCTTGCAATTTCATTAGTCCCAGTTAAGAATAAAATTTCTTCAAGTAAATTGCTCAGACTTTATAGGTATGTGTGTGTACATTCACACACATGCACATATGTATATAGCGTGAGTTAGAGTTGCACACGTCCAAATATTCTGATATGACAAGCATGAAGTTTATTCTTCTTCAATGCTCAATTTTGAGTGAGAAATTGTTTCTTATTTGTATGATGAGGTTTTCACAGCAGTGAGTATGAAGATCATTCATCGCCCTGATGACGGAGGCAGAATGACCTCTGAAACGTTCGTAAACATCTACCAGACTACACAGTGCAACAACCCGGAAAACAGAAATCTTCTGTTTCTTATTTATTTATTTTATGAAAAAGGCTGTTGATGCACTGAGTACAAAGACATTTCTGTTTATCTGCAGAGGTGTATAGAACCAGAAGCTTCAGTGCCATTAATGTTGAAACATTGTACAATTCCTTCTGACCTCCATCCTCAAATTGTTTTCCAAAGATCCATCATAATGTTATCCTCCAGTTTGTTTATTTTTCTTGAAACACATCCCGAAGCAGGAATAAAGGTGACGAGATTGTGAGTCACAAATTTTGTCTATATTTTTAAATTAATTCATATTTGTCCGTATCAATCCAGTCCCAAAACTTCTTCTCTATGAATTTCCTTATACAAAGAGCCATCTGGTTCCTGTTAACGAGTTCTGTCACTCGCTCACTCCATTTCCAGACATTGTAGACGACGTACAGTAGTCTTCCAAGTCGAGGTGCTAAATCCACTACGGCTGTAAGACATTCACGAACAACTTGATACATAATTCCGTCTAGCAACTCTTCGTTCTTTCCAGTTGGGTATTCATCATATTTTTTAAAATTATTCACATCGCTGTCTGCTGCAGATTCATTGGTTATTTTTGAAATTTTAATTAGCTGGTTTTTCATTTGTGAACTGTCATACGACTTGTTAGCGAGATGACTGCCGTTATTGGCTGGTGCTCTGATTCGTTGATGACCCTGCTGCTGGAACAAGTTGTGTATCTGGACATTGAAGTGTCTCGTTACACATGTAATCAGCTGTATCTCAGGCTTATATTTGTAATATATAGATAGTATTCTTTTAACTATATGCTTTATTGGTTTGATAAATGTTACGCCATTAAAGGAACGTCTCTTCCTGATCTTGTGAAGTGTTTCTTGGTATGTTATGTCGGACAGTTCGTCAAGAAGTGATGTAGGTTGATGTGAAGCATATTTTTTTACCAGAGTGTAATTTGAATTGCTTGACCACCTGCAAATCACAAAATTATATGATGTCACATTTTATATGGAGTATATTTTATATTGAGATTTACGTTTTGATAACTTTAGCTGATTTAGGTCTGTGTTACTTGCATTTTATAATTGGTGGGTGCAACTGTTCCATTACTTCTTGAAGTTTGCTTCAAGGTATAAAATTTAGTTGTGAACGCGTATGGTTTCGTAAGAAACATTAAACTGAATGCAACTGTTAGTAGTTCCAGTTTGTTTCCTGAAACAGAAAGTAGCAAAATTGTAATGTTTATATTTTAACGTTTGTCGCTGTTTTGTGTAACATTTTGTATGAATGTATTTAAATTAAAGAAATCTTGAGCACAAAAACAGAATGTGACCCACCGAAAGTTTTGTACTTGTTGAACCACTATTAATGATGAACTTAGCCACTCTCTGTCATATTAGAAATGTTTAATTCAGAATTAATCTCCATATAAATAGTGAAAGATTTTACAGTATAAAAGAGTAGATAATAATTTTATTTTACTACCCTCATGTTTTCAAAATTATGATCTCAACAAAATTAGTAAAATAAATTTAGAAAATGCTTGCTAGTATTCATTTCAAAAAATTACTGTCTGCGTGCTGAACATTATGGTGCAGACTGTACACTGAAGGATAAATATTTTATTTATGGAATTTGGAAAATGTTTTGGGTATATTGTTACGTAGGATTTGAGAAATAACGTAAGAGGACAATTTGTTGTTTGTACTTCTTTCTCATGTGCGACTTTTCAAAGAATTTCCTGCACCAGAATGTGAGTGAGTTAGTGTTCATAGGATAGTTACTAGTCAAATTTCTTTATGTTTACGGAACATGAGACTCCATGTTTGCAGGAATCGGCCATATACTGTTATAACAATTATTTATTACCGTGTGTTTTCTTAAGTTAAAACAAAAGCGAAGATTACGAAATCCGAAGCAGTGTGCAACTCACCCATTCGAATCGCTATCTGGCTTACTGTTTCTCTGTAAACTGTCCATTGCTTGCTGTAACACATTGTGGAAGTACTCTTCCGTTCCCGTTAAAAGTCTTTGCCCGTAGCTATGTACTAGAAATAGCACCACAGTGAAGGACTTGAGGGGCTGCCATGGAAATGAACGTAGTGCTTCGTTTTCGAGGGGCCCCGGGTTCAATTCTAGGCCCTAAGGTCGGCTATTCTGATAGTGGTTCGATTGAGTCCTTCCCAGCAAATCCTTGATAGTATCCTGTATTTGTCAGGCCTACACGTTGTCGCCATTATGTTATTTTTAACTTTCCTAAAGACTGCATTGTGTAAGCTGTGTCAAAACTGCCATAAACATTATATAGGACAAACGGGCAGAAATTTCAAAATTGGGTTCAAGGAACATATCAGTGATATTCAAACTAATAAACCTAACACAGGATTTTTCTAAAATATTAATAAAAAGTATGGACCCTCATATGGCACCTTAGAAGATACAATGTAAATGATCGAAGAAGCAAAAAAGGATAGTTACATCAGCGTACTAGAAAAATTCCACATATACAGTAACGTTAAAAAGCGTTCATTTAAACGAAACATATCCAGAGAGCAACAACTCCATTTTTTAATTCCTGATAAACGTAAACAGTACCTAAACAATGTTCTCTCCACCCCTCCCTCCGCCATCCGCCCCTATGCGCCCACGAACATCAACCAACCCCTTCAGTTTAACTACAGCTTTCCACCGGTAAGTACGTCTACATAGTCCGCTCCACCAGAATAGGTAAGCTGCTTAAGACGCAGTCAATTACGTGGTGAAGTCAACAACAGAAAATATATGTATAAATTAGCAACCATGTCTACTAGTTTCTAACACTTATAGAGAACCACCTGAAGATGACCAATTAAGAACGAAAATTCAGACTAATAAAAAAATGTTGTGTAGACGGTCTGTCAACGTAACGAAGTGTAGTTGGAGTAAGAGTATATAAATATAAGTGTATTTCATATAACAGCTACCGAGATGGCATTCACGTTTATGTTTGCCACGAATGTTCACGTTGTACAACATATTAAAATATTACTATGGAACACAAATTTTTGGGCATATACTATCATTTCACTTTAGGAAATCCACTGTTTACTTTCATTATTAATTTGCCAAGTTAATGTTTACGTCTTTCACGAACGTTCTGAGCTCTCCTGCAGAAACTAAACGTAGGCATGAGTCCTTGCCGGCCTTCTTGACTTCTCTAACCTCAAAACTTCACAACGATAGGGGATACTGTGATTTAAACATCCCTTTATAAATTTAAGAAGAAAAGTTATCTCCACCCTCAGGGGCGGAGCGTTTGTTAACCCTGTTAGCTTCATTAGCCCGGCTAACATTTTGAAGAAAAAAACATTCTACCTTAGTTTCGTGGTTCAGAGGGTACTCAGTACACTGAAACAGCAGAACCGATCAGATAAAACGTATAGTTAGCCAGTTCCAATCAGCCAGGCGCTGTTAGCGTTGTTACGCTCGCCGCGAGCGTAAGCCACACCTAGATGGCGGAGACATGCCAGCAAGACAGACAGAAATTACGCAGAATTGCCCATGTTTCTTTGTCCTACATCTTATTTCCACATCGTCATACACATCAAGGGTAGGAAATTAACATCGCAAATATAATAACTATGTGCAAGAATGACAGCAATTACTTTAGAAGAGGTTTACAAGAGTAGCTAGTTGAGTTTGGCATGTAGACTTCTGAGGTCGCTGGAATAATGAAACACCCCCTTAACTTGAAACATGGATGATACAGACAGGTTGGCTTTCTCTCTTTTTTCCTTCAAGTATTCTAGTCAACTTCCTTCCCCCATTGAACGCCTATTGAACATCACCTTTGCAGGCGGATAAAACTTGTGCAAATTTGGTCTCACCATTTGGCTTTCACTCCTTTCATCTCACTTCTCTTTAGACCACATTTCTCTTTCGTTTCTTCCTTTATCCTACCGTCTCAGTTTGTCACGTGGTCGCTCACCATTGGACAGCAGCCCCGCTCTGTTAGCACATACCAGAACCAGTAGATCTGTAAATTAGTACAAAAATACATCCTAGCATGCCATGCCTCTAATTCGTTTCGCAATACGATCAATAACGTATTCAAACGAACTTCATTTTGAGTTGTTGACTTCATACATTTGCATCCCCAGATAAGAAATGTGGAAGAACCAAGACTCCAGTCCAGCGGCCACTGATTACGTCACCACTACGCCATCGGTCACGGTCCACCAAGATGTCGCATCCTTCGGAACCCTTCACCCAGAACAAAAAAAAGGCAGAACACGTGACATTGTTCAAAGGTTCTGGTGTCATTGCCGGACTGGGTTCGATGCTGGTCAGAGAAATAGGTATGTGTCTGTTCGCGGTCAGCACTGTATCCACGCGTTCTGAAGCTTGTTAAACTTCTGTCATCGGGTGGAAAATATCAGCTTGATCCATCTGAAAAATCCAGGAATTGACATTAGCTTTTCCAATGGACAATTGATTAGGTTGAAACGGAAGCAGGACCAACTTCCGAAAAGTTATATATTTAAAAAAATAGACGAGGAAAAAAATCGAAGAATATGCATTAATTTAATGACACAACTTTGTTAAAAATCTTCATAATATTTATATTTTTTTGTTATGTAAGTTAGCGTTTTTATATATTTATGGATAATTCATTTAACGACGCTTTCAATAATTCATATTGAATGATAATGTTAGTGAGGAATCGGTTTGCCTTCTATAAAAAGGTTACCAGATTTGAAACGGTCGGAGCGTCAAGGTGACTACTAAGCTTACTCAGTCTTGTGTCTACGTCATAAGTTTTCTCCGAAGAAGCAGATCTGGTCTGAAGAGTTGCACCCCGAAGTGAATGGACCAGTCGCGTAATCAATATCAAAGCCAACCAATCCCACGCGCGTCAGTTCCATATTTTAAATTTGCTTCTTTTGACATCATACTGAGTCTAGCAAGTCACTTTGTGGTGGAATGTGCAGTACAAAGAAATATTATTCCAAATTATTGTCAGAGTCTCCTTCACATGGCACACAAACAGAAACTGGCAACAAGTGATGTCGGTAAAACCCACAACAACTTGGGAGAACTATGTACCAGTCGGTCTCTTAGAGCAGAATTCAAATAATCAAGTTCGCCATCGAACACGGAGCCGAGGTAGTGCCATCCAACTTCTGCCCTCACAACCTCTTTCCTGAAACGTGTCCCAATTTAATCATCCACAATATTTGTTTCAGTTTTTACACATTTTCCAGCCGATTCCTCACCAAAATTCCACATGAATGCCTTATTTTCCTACCTGCCTACACACCGCCTTCATAACCCCAAATCTTAGATGTACGTATTTTAAGTCTTCCGTGCTGTAGATACATTTAACAAAAGACAAGCGAGCGCGCGAAGACATGCTGTGACTGGACTGACCACGCATCTGTCTGTCCCCATCCTCCAGAGGCAGAACTGGCCTGTGACCAGTGACGCGTCTAATGACAGTACAGTCTTGTGTATATCATACTCACGATTTATTTAACGACGCTTTCAAGATTATATAGCGTCGAATACTGGGCGATTAGTTGATAATAAATTGGATGGGATATAAAAGAAGCGGTTTCGGCCTAATTTAAGGTACCACGCCTGCTGTTATTAACGGAAACTATAGAAAACGATATATTAGCTCTAGAATACGAACCAAGAATGCTTACCACTCTACTACCATGTTTGGTTCCAAACTATCATATGGACCAAATTCTTGAAAACCGTTCTGCATTTATCGGCATTGTGCTTGGGACAAGAACCCAGGGACTGGTGGAAGGCTTTGGTTAATTCGGTGATGAACCTTCGGGTACCCTAAGCCATCTAGTTAGATGCTCGTTATGGCACTACGCAGTACCACCTGTGAAATGTTCTGGGGTCCATCAAATAACTGGTTAAGCTGTAGAACATGAACCATTTGTCGCGCACCATCTGTTGAGTAAATAAGGAACTTACTGCAGGAGATGGCTGTCTGGGTTGTTACGCCTTGTGCTGGTAAAAGTTTTACCATACGTTTCAGAGCGATGACCTGATGATGGAGGCAGCAAGGACCTCTGAAACGTCGGTAAACTTCTTCCAGACTACACAGCCGTGAAAACCTCAAATCCTACAAACTTACTGCAGCACGTGAGGACAGTGAATGTTACATAAGCGGGGGACAATTAACGTGAGTTTGATTATATGACAGAAAATTATTGTGGTCAGTGATATTCAAGCCGATTGATAAGGAAAAATTCACCCGTATCAGCTGATGTCAAGTGGTGGGTATTTGAAACTTCACCCAAGGACAAACGGAAGCGAAACCCTTGTATGAAACAGAATGCTGTGCATTTATCACCCGTCTCCTTATCGTAAGAATGCAGACCTATTTCTTTTAGACGTGACCAGTGTCAACTACGAAGATAAATTATAATGTGTCAACGAAGCCTATAATAAAATCCGTGGCAGATTTTAAATATTCGGCAACGACAAAAAAAAATAAAAAAGCATCCACTAACAAATTAAGACCAGATTAAATTTCCCAGCTTCTCAAAAAAGACTCGAGATGTCTGGCCGGTGGCAACTGATGGAGCTGTGTTTGGGGGTAGAAAATAAGGGCTGTCTCCTACGGCGTGGAGCTGAAGAGGCGCCAAACCTGTTTCGGTATTTCGGGAAACATTATTAACACGTTTTTTTTAACTAATCTAAACAAAATGTGACCGAGCGACAGACCCTGTGTGTTTTTTGTGTGTTTCATTTTATGGTCTTTGTTGCATACAATATCTTAACAACCATGTATAAAGCACGAAGCTTTCGTCTCTTCGGCAATGCACATTAAGTTGTGAGATCACAGTGTTTAAATTATACAAACTCATTCTTTATTGTTGTTTTGCAACAAATAGCGATTTGTTTGTTTCATGTCATAACTGCAACTGCAGTAATGTATTTCTTTTCGTGCGAGGGCCAAGGTATAATAGGTGTGGATGTAGATGAATGTGCGCACTGGCATCTCCTGGAGATAGACCGAACTAATCCATTGAACGCGCGGAAACGCAAGGGGTGATGGAGTTGTATGGCCGGTATCATCAGGGGGAGGATTTTGTGTTCGTGCAGTTTCTTTCCAACGTTCTTCCAGTGCAGTCAGGATTGTGGTCGTGTGGTTTGGCGTTTAGTTTGTGGAGTGACGCGTTTCGTATCGACCACAAAGAGTTGTTTTTGTGTGCGTGTGAAACATCGGATAATGGACCATTTTTCTAGCTGAATCGAATTGTTTTGAAACACTTCGCCTGCAAGATGCCTTCCTCTGAACGTGACAGACAGAAATATTCGGAGGTACCTGAGAAAGATGGGGCTGGACAGAACGTCGTTAAATCTGGCGACGATGAGATCTGCCTTAAGGCGAAGATGAGTCTTTTGAACGGTATCACCGTGATTGTTGGCAGTATTATTGGGTCAGGAATATTCGTGTCGCCAACCGGTGTTCTGCTGAATACGGGCTCCGTGAATCTGTCCCTCATCGTCTGGGTCGTCTCGGGCGTGTTTTCCATGGTAAAGCAAATAACCATCCACACTTTTTTTTTTACAGTTTTTCCTAAATTAAATTATAACCTTAAATTCGTGGAACATTCTCATACGATATTTCATTACCGTTGCTTTAAATCATGATCTGTATCACCACTTTACACGTAGAATATATTAGACTATTTATTATTATAAGTTTCATGACTTTAAAAACTACATTGTTTAATGTCTGTCCTGTTTATTTTAAACCCCCCACTTTCTTTAATGTTTTAATATTATTACTAATATTTGACTGTATAAGCATTTTATTGATTTGTACTTCTGACACCATTACTTTATGAACTGCAAATAATTGACTATTCCATGGTGCAAGGACTTCGTTCAACAGCTGATGGTTGTTCAGTCGGTGAAGACATTTCTTGCATTGATGTAGTCTAATCGGAAGTTTCATTACCGCCACTGTATCGTATCCTGAGCCAGCTGAATCCAGATCACATCATGTTTATTTAAGATCCATTTTAATGTTATCCACCCTTCTACGTCTAGGATTCTGAAGTAATTTATTTCAGATTTTTCAACGAAAATTTTGTTTATGTTTCTCACTTCTCATTTTCCTTGATTTTAGTACGAATTTGAAGTTACGTCCTCTCTCTTTGGTTCAAGTATTGTACTTCGCCTTTTTCCTTTCTTTCACAGAGACTAGATTTGGGTTTGCAAATGGCTCAAGACACTAGTGACGATAAAGCATTTGTTTATTCACGTTTTTTTTTGCAAATTATCAAATTTATCTGATTCGTCATGATAATTTGGCTTTTGAGGTCCTGTCACCTGGAGTCAGAAGACGACGGGGTTGGATAAAGGATTCTAGAGTCAGGATGTAATTAAAGACCATTACCGACACATTAACTAATTGACTGACACCGCCCTTCCTGAGAGCCCTGAAGCCCCATTTTATTAAGCCTGGTTCACTGCCGCAGGTGGGCGCTTATTGCTATGCTGAGTTGGGCTGCATGATCTCCAAGAGCGGCGCTGACTACGCCTACATCATGGAGACGTTCGGCCCGTTCATGGCGTTCATTCGGCTGTGGATCGAATGCATGATCGTTCGACCGTGCTCGCAGGCCATTGTGGCCCTCACTTTCAGTGTGTACGTTCTTAAGCCGTTCTTCCCCGAATGTCAGCCTCCGGAGGAGCCAGTTCGCCTTCTAGCAGTCTGCTGCATCAGTGAGTACGGGCCGCTGTTTGTAAATCATTATTCTGAATATTTAATCACGCGTGTTTGCAGTCCATCGGGAATTCCGTTTCTTTGTTAAACACGCTTCTAGGACGAAACTTTCGCAATTACATTCCCTTTTTTGCCCCACTGAAAGGCAAAATATTTCTGTTTCGCCAGAATCACGTCATGCGAAATGTGTTTCTTGGAACAGTGTTCATTCCATATTCCTTGTGTTTCAGGGGCACAGAGCAACATGATAGTCCTTGAGACTTGCATTCAAAATATAAACGCGTTTTTAAAATTTTTAATCCTTTGAAGGCCTTTCACGTTTTGCCAAGTAAAACTATTTATTTGGCATCTTCGAATGTATTAAGTTTGCATCTGGTGGTAAACAATATTAATTTTAATGCATAGAACCATCGTTGTCTACAAAGCTGGCATTTTTACAGTTAAAACAATGCAAAGAGGCACGCATTCATTTTCGTTCTACCTTGCTGAGTAATGGTTGAAGTACGTTTTTTGTCAGTGAGATTTATATTTTGTGGCACATGCCAATTTATTTTTACAGCGAACAGTTATTAAGAAGACCGCTAAGTTATGTTTTATCTTGCTGTGAAATGGAAGGTAATTTGAACTGAAACTAACGACTTTCAACTGCTAGAGAACAGGACTTTGTGCTTTGTAAGTTTATGGTGTACAGAAAGAAAGAAGGTGCCATGATGTTCTGTTTTACCCGTACTTTGAGCTGATAATGGGAAACGTTACACTTTGTTTTCATAGCAAGAACACAGCGTATCAAACTGCTTTTATGGGTGTTGTTCATTGCTTCGGTAAATGTAGTTCCAATTAGAAAGGAAGAATAAAACTACCTCAAAATTGTTTGATCTTGACTGGGAGGTTGGACGCAGGGCGTTACCTCCGTGCATTCTGTCAGGATTCTCGCCTTTGAGGTAACGTTTAACTCGTCATTTAATCGAGAACTTTATTCTCGAAATTGTAGTGACCGACTAGCTTGCTAGTTGGATGACAGAGCTAAAGTTCTCTGTAAGGGAAGGCATTTTATTTGCCTCTACGCCACCAATACGTCCAGAAGCATCTTGTTGATACCAGGGGAATGTGGCCTGGTTTTGGAACTGATCACTCAAGTCAATTTAGTGCCTAGTTTATGCCTGGAGCTGTACGTCTGCACTTAGAGGTGATGAGTTCGTTAAATATTGTTAGTTATTTAGTTCCGATATTTTTCTTCCTGGTTAACCTAACGACATTTTAACAGCTAACTACACAGTCTATGGGAATGAAGTGGCATATCTGTGTGAGTGATCAGCTGGTGGAGCGACCAGAGTGACGTTAAGATTTTAGGAAATGACCGAATCTCAGATAATGCTGTTGTATTCGTTGCGAGCAAAATAATCCCGATGATAAAGTCACAATATTTGTCGTAATAGAGGTCATCACAGAAAACGAATAACAGTAAATAATATGAGACGCCTCCTGCGTCACCGATGACGCGACTTGGGTCCTGCAAGAGGGGACATTCTGCCGTATTTGGTGAGATAGGGCACACTGATTCTCTTTGCTGCCTTTCTGCCCTGACCAGTCATGTTAAATCATGTATCCTGTTCCTCTGCGCTTAATGGTGTAGTGGTTGGCTTTTGTATTTTGTAACCGAGAGGTTTCCTCTTCGAATCTGGACGCAGTAGAGTCAATATAGGCATTTAAGATTGCTGTCTTCTGGGTTGTTACGCCGTGTAGTATGGTAGATGTCCACCAACGTTTCAGAGGTCATATCAGGGAACAACCCAGAAGACAGAAATCTTCATATTCATCGCTGTGAAAACCTGAAATTCTACAATATAGGCATTCATTACCAAAAATCTAATCCCTTAGGGCAAATAACGAAGTTGTACCTTGGAATAGGCCACCACCACTTCCTCTGACATACCTCAGCTTTCCAATTTGTAATAGATAAAACATACTCCTCGTCCGAGACAGTCACGGATCAGCGGGCTAGAGAAAGTGCCGACTGCAGAAACAGTATTTTTAAATAAAAAAACGCAGCCATTTCCTGCAATGTAACGGGTTTCTGTTTTGAACGCGTTTCAAGCTCCTTGATTTCATTATTACTTCAGTATGTCATGATGATTTTGTGCCAGCTACTTTTCAGTTCATCCGACATATTTAACTACTGTATCTGTCCTTTGGTCTCTGCTGGTACTGTGAGGAAATCCCCAGTGTCGGCTGATCGAGGAAGTGGTGTTTGAGAAATAAGTTCTGGGAATGTTGATCCCACATCTGTATAAACAGGCTGACGTAAATTATAAATGAAAAATTATACAAATGGGTTAAGGGTCTCGCTGATAATTGTCAGATATGACTTCGAAGATTCGCACTGTCGCAATGTTTGTAATTTTTTAAAATTTAAGAAAACTTAACTCAAGTATTGATGACATAGAATTAAGAATTTTAAAGGCAGGCTAGACTCAGTGTGGCTTAACGTTTTTACTAAGTTCGTATAAAATTTGGTGAAAATCCGTCAGTGGATCATCGGGTATTAGCGACACGCACACTTTTCCTTAGAGAAGTGCCAACAGTTTGAGCCAGATGTGTGTCTGTGTAATTTACTCTGGCTCCAAAACACATTTGTCATATGTAAGCAGCTGTGGTGTGCAATTAGGCTAGACAAACAGACAATACCGGAGTGACGTCACGATTTGTGTGGAATTTTACCGCATTTGGCGGAACTAATTGCAATGCTGTTTCAACTACTCAGATTTTATTTCTTTATTAGGTTATTATTGTTAGTATTATTCCCGTCCCTTATGCGAAAGCCCAAAGATTATGATATAGAAATACGTAATTTTATCTATTGTTTTGTATGGCCATGAAACTTGGTCTCGCTCCCAAAGAGAAGAGCATAGATTGACGGTGTTTGAAAGCAAAGTGCTGAGGTGAATGCAACAGTAGGTCGGAGAAAATCACGCATCGAGGAGCTCTTAATCAACTATTATGAGGGTGATTAAATCAGGAAGGTTGGGATGAGCAGTCCATGTAGCACGCATGGAAGCGACGAGAAATGCGTATAAACGTTTAACTATAATATCTTAATACCAACGACCATTTAGGAAATCTGACTATATGTGGGAGGATAATATTAAAACGGAGCTTAGTGACGGGCTTGTGTGAACACAGTAACGAATCATCGGTTCCGTAAAAAGACGGGAAAGTCTTGTCTGTGTGGCAGTCATTTTCTGCAGGACTCTGCGGTTTAGTGTTTTTATAATTTGTTGAGTCAATATAATTCTTTATAGTTTTTACATAGAACTATTTTGCATGCGTTGTAATTCTGAGGTGATCGTAAATATGTTTATTGTCATTATTAAAACAGAAGGATAAAGACATCCGTGAGTAGTCGCACGGAAAATGGTAGGAGGCGGGAATACGTGCAATGAAAGTAAATTAAATAATTGCACGTCTCATTCTTGCTTGTTACTGGATCGATGTTGCAGCTCTCTGCACTTGCTGTCTACGGATACGGGAGAAATTCCCTGTTTTTACTGAATCCAAAGTTTCTTTGCTGTCATAGCAGAGATATGCCATTTAACCCCTTTTAAGTTTAAATCCAGTCCACACTTTGACAGTCTACTGCCTTAATATATATATTTTAATATCCTCCTATATGTATCTGTCTTCCAAGTAATATATTTTTACTGAACTGTGTCTCGTTCATTTCTTTACTACACTATTGTTAGGCAAAGAGTACAGTTTGGACACTCCTGAGCCACTTTAATATTATCCTCTCATCTGATGGTATTTGTCACATTCTAATTATCTGGACGCAGCACTGTGTGACCTCAGTGTTATCTTTGTGCAAAGGATCAATGGTTTTGTCGCGACAGTCCGAAACACGTGTTCCATCCGCGACTTCTTCTGCACAAAGTTTGTGAAATGAACTCACATTGGTGACGTGGTATCTGTATAAGCCCACACTTATTAGACCCAATGTATTTGGGGGTCTGCAATAAATTATCGACCTAATTTTATTTCAGTTTGCGTCCCTCAAGTCGAACTGATATTGGTTTTATCAGAAAACGTATCCAGGCAATACGTAAACTTTAGTTACTGGCTGTTGTTGGGCACTGAAACCAATTTGCTCTCTGACAGGCGATGTTCTTGCTAACGAAGGTTTATGGAAGTTGTGTAATTTAACCTCCAGCTTTTCTATCTCGATGCAGTTTAAGTAGCCGTAACCAAGTTTTAAACTCAAATCAACGTGTTGCAGTAGAGAATGTTAGAAATATGTTGTCCAATGGTGGGTTTTGGTCTTAGATATGTTGAAGCTTCGAGTTCTGAAACTCATGTGTCAGCTACGAACTAATGTCATGTTGGTTGCAGCTATTGCAGGTAGCTGTATCAGTTACAAGCGTCGTGGTACAAACTAGTCGTGTATGGACCGCAGTCTTAATACGTCATTAATTGTTTCATTATTACTATTTTCCTCACCTAGTTCTATTGATTAATCAAATCGAGAGGAAGAAGATGGGTGGGCCATGAAGAATGCACGGGAGAGACGAGAAATGCTTGAAAAAATTTTGGTCGGAGAAAATGGAAGGACCTAATCGCGAGACGGATACTATTAAAATTAAACTTTTTAAAATTAAGCGTGGAATGGATTTATTTTGCTCAGGACAGGGTTCGTTGGTGTGGTCTTGTGAACATGGCAGTGAAATTCTCAGTTTCATAAAATACGAATCTTTTTTTTTGCCAGATGAGGGACTAACAGCTTCTCTAGAAGGACTGTGTGCTACATGGAGTTTGTATTGTCATTGTCATCATAATCCTCTATTGTCACTACCACCAACACGCGTAGGGCTGTCTGTGTGTTCTTGGTGTAAATGTTGAAAAGATATTCACTAAATTGAAGGATCAAGGTTCTGGTGTGTAGGTAGGAACGAAAGTCTTTTACACGACCGGACTCTTGCGTCACTTGTCTGCCCACTGACATTTCCAC